ATATATATATATATATATATGTAATTGTTTTTTAATGTAAATATAGATGTAAAGTCTGTAAATAAAGTTTGAAACAAAACTAACAACTAAATAAAAAACTATGAAGTATCTGTTTGAAACCAAAACTTGCAGGATTTTCTTGAATGAATTCAACCACACACACAATGTGCACAGAATGATATGCATGTTTATTTCATAAAGAGAACTGGTGTCTAAGACAAAAAAAATTCATATATATATAACACTAGCAGTTAAAATGAATGAAAATGGGGCTGCACAACATGGTATTTACAATAGCTATTAAGTCATTAAATAATTAGGGTCATGTAGCATTTTATAAATGAGACTCTTAGTATAGAAGAAGCAAATAACAGCTTATTCAAGTGAACAATATTAACACAAAACAGTCATCTAGAAAAATGAGGGGGAAAAACAACTTGAATTACAAGCTTTGGAGCTATTACATTAAAAATGATGCACCAAAATGTACTAATACAATTATTCATAGAATCTGTGTAAAAAGCATGTAGAAAAACACCTGATGCAGTTTGCTGATACAGTCATTGACCAGTTATGAGAGGTATGAAGTATTTCACAGGTAGATAAGTGTGAAAAAAGTCTGCACTGGTTCCTTGGGGATGGGGGCTCAGGCCCCTGCATACACACACTTCACTTCAACGTGAACTATGGCCTCGGCAAGTTCTAAGGCAATTATCGGAGGTGCACTTGTATCCATGTCATGCCAACCCATCCCAGAAGTTGGATGAAAAACGAGGTGAGAGAACGCTTCGTCTCGTCCACAACACTAAGCGCCTGTCCAACTGAAGAGTGACCTTTACATGACATAACACCTATTTGTAAACATATTTTWATATATACTTTACTCACTGATCTCAGCCTGTGCATTCAACCTTTATACCAGATTCAGTTCTTTTTTAATGATTATTTTTATTTAGTCAAGCAATCTGTGAAAAGGCATGTTTTTGTTCATATTCTTTCAGAACAACCTTTGGAGTTGCAAAAGCCAGTGTTTCAGAGAAGCAGCGACAAAAAAAAAAAGTTAAAAAATTAAAATTACCAAGACAAAAACAAACAACTTTAAGAGCATTCATTTACAGAGCTACAGCGATGTTGGTGTAAATCAAAGAGCTGTATGATCAAAAAAATTAAAAAATTAAAATTACCAAGACAAAAACAAACAACTTTAAGAGCATTCATTTACAGAGCTACAGCGATGTTGGTGTAAATCAAAGAGCTGTATGATCAAAAAAATTAAAAAATTAAAATTACCAAGACAAAAACAAACAACTTTAAGAGCATTCATTTACAGAGCTACAGCGATGTTGGTGTAAATCAAAGAGCTGTATGATCAAAAAAATTAAAAAATTAAAAACAAAAATGGACAAATCAAACCAAAGATTTCCTCTTTATATATAATAAAGTTTTTTAAGGGACAGTCAGGTCAGTTTTGTAGTGATGTTCTTCTCAACTGCCACATCAGTCATCGAACACATGAAGGAAATAGGCAAAAGTTTTCATCCAGGCTAAGGCTAGTCAAATGAGTCCAGTTTTTATTGTTTTGCAGACTTATAAAATAAATCCTTTTCAAACTGACAATTCTGGTGTAAGAGATCACTACGTTAGCAAATATAAAATCGCTACAACACTGCAGGACACCATTTGTTTAGTGTGTGGCTGTTTTCCTAACTGAACTGTGTTACTTTGTGAATACATGTTCAGAGATAGCCGGTTATAAAACTACTGACAAGGTAACACAAAATAACCAGCAACAACAACAAAAAAAAAAAAAACGGTCTCATGTCAAATGTAGCACTTAGATATTAAAGTAGACATGTGAGGCTTTTAAAGGCACAGTGTGTAGGATTTGTTGGCTGATGATGAGCGCAAGTGTCGTGGTAGCAATAAGCTATGTGGTTACATCCATTGCCGCCATGTTTGTAATGAATTATCGCGAGAACAAGCGTATTCACGCGTGACTTTAATGGCATTTCTTACATAAAGGCACAGTGTGTATTTGTTGTTTTCAGCGACATCTAGTGGTTGAGTGGTTGAATCATCCTCCCTGGTCC